TCATCCTTCCATCCTTCCTTCCTTCCTTCCTTCCTTCCTTCCTTCCTTCCTTCCTTCCTTCCTTCCTTCCTTCCTTCCCAAGTGGCTTGAATTCAAGTGTGTGCTACCACACCTAGCTAATTTTTTTATTTATTGTAGAGATGAGGTCTCGCTGAGTTGCCCAGGTTGATCTTGAATCCCTGGGCTCAGGCAATTCTCTTGCTGTTGTCTTCCAAACTACTAGGATTACAGGTATGAGGCACTACACCTGGCACCTTTAATAGTTTAAAAAGTATAGTTGGCCTGCATGGTGGCTCATGCCTATAATCTCAGCACTTTGGGAGGCCAAGGCAAAAGACCGACTGAGTCCAGGAATTTGAGACCAGCCTGGGCAACATGGCGAGACCTCATCTCTACAGTAAATCAAAAAATTAGTCAGGCATGATGGTGCATGCCTGTAGTCCCAGCTACTTGGAAGGTTGAGGTGGAAGGACTGCCTGAGCCTAGCAGGTTGAGGCTGCAGTAGCTGTGAGTATGCCACTGCACTCCAGCCTGGGTGACAGAGTGAGACTCCGACTCAAATGCAAAAACAAAACAAAAATATAGTAAAATACCCTAACTTTCCAGGATGCTATAGCACAAATTCAGCCACATAATGTCTTCAATTCTCTCGAGGACCTCTGGATAGGAGCCATGATTTACTTGTTCCCCCGTGCCTAGAACAATGTCCTGCGTGTAATCACTCACATGCTCACTATCTGGGTGTGTGATCTCCAACCTAAAATAAGAAGCCTGTAACTCTAGGGATTTTCTACTCTCCAGAGCCAGAATGACAATGGACCTTCTCTTCAACTATTTATACATATGCAGAAATAGGGACTTATTGTATGATAAAGAAAAGTTTACCTATTGCTCTATCTAGAAACCTACAAAGACTTCAAATTCAGTAACACTGAATTCTCGTTTTACTTCTGTTATAAAATGAATGTAATTTTAATGTTAAAGTCTAATGAGGAGCAACAGTACATAATATAAGAATTCCAAAGAGATTTCTTTGCAAAATCTATCACATGTGTGAGTCATTACTGATGGTTCGACACCTCTGGGTTGGTACAGGATGGAAATTCCATACCTTAACCCAAGGGTAGAGGTCAGCACCTCTGGCAAATGTCATGTCTACTAGGATAGTAATTCCAAAGTCTTCTACACATCTGGAAACAAAATCCACTTGGTCAGAGGTTCTCCTGCTCACCTGGTGTTGGGCCTCCTCCAGGTTTCCACTAGCCCAGAGGGAGAGGCCAAGGCCATGGCGAATTTTTGCCTCATCTTCTCTTCGGCCCAGTTGCTCAGCTAACCTTAAACCTGAAATCAGACAGAAAATTTTGAAGAAATGTGGGAAACAGGTAATTCCACTCTCCCAAGAAGTCTTGGAGGGTAACTGTGCTTCAGGTATATATAAAGAATGTTAACAACAGCTACTTGGGAAGCTGATCCCAGAGGATCACTTCAGCTCAGAAGCTCTAATCTAGGCTGGGCAACATAGTGAGACACCCCCCATCTCTTAAAAAAAAAAATGTTATCACAGCTAGATAAAATGCAGAACAAGAATTGAATCAGCCTAGGCAGAATAAGTATTCTCCCCATCCTCCTCAAATTCTGTGTTGGTGGCAACGTTTCCAGGACACTCCAAGATACCCAGCAAGCACTCAGGCGATGGCTATCAGCAGGAGACAGGTTTGCAGGGCAGGCAGAAACAATGAAACAAATGAAACCTAACCTGGCCATCTTCCCTGATGTGAAATCCTTAGGTTTGCAAATGAAAACTCCGGGCTGATACATTTATCTAACACGATTTTTAGTCAGGGAAAGCTCTTCCTGACAGTTAAGGACAGAAGCCAAAATAATACTTTTTCCTATCTCACGTGCAACAGTATCCAATCAGTGTTGATGGGAGACAGGGACGATGCTTTTCTGAAAGCTGACCCTGCCTCTGTTACTGACACGTTTCATGTCTAATTTGTTTTTCCTTGAAGTCTGAGATTTTGTTGTGCCTCAGTGGGGTTGCAAAACAACTGCTATTATGAGTCAAAAGCCTTAAATTAGACTGTCCTCATTTTAACGGCCTTCAGATAGGCACCTGCAGTTTGGGTCACTTACTCACAGCAAGTTTTTGGGTGTCAGGACACTTGCAACCTCCAGGGCTAGTGGGCCTGAGAGCCAAATCTGAAGACAAACATTAATTGCAATGGTCACTAAGCAGTTCTCCGCATCACTTTGCCCTTGTTATCCTGTTCTCTGTTCACTGAAGCTAATGTGTGCAGAAGACAGCAATAAGGCTCCCACACTACAACTGCACAGACAAAGGAAGGGCTTCCTTTCTCAAATCCGGTTCAGGGTGAATGGCAGCCTGCCTCTTGATCATGCTGGGTCTAAGCAATTTCAGACTTCAGAAGAGGAACTGGGTCCATTGAGAGGCTATGAAACGTGAGACTCAAGTTCAAACTCATAAAAAACGCATTTCAAAATGCATATAACTCAGAAAACTCAGAAACAGCACTGTAAGTTTAAATCATGTCACCGGGTGACAAAAATATTTGCAAATAACTCACATTTTTAAATGCCTCCCAGGAGAAATACACATAAAAGAAGATGGTTCCTGGGGGAAAAAAATCAGGAGGATACTGGTTGTTTTAACCTTCAACAAGCTAATAGCATTAATTATTCAATATAGACCTCTGCTAGATCGGGATCTATGAGTCAAAAGAAAATTCACAGAGGCAATCGCCCCTCAGCAGAAGACACGTTCTGTGATAAGAGACTGAGCTTGCTTCCTGAGCTTTGTATCCCCAGCATGTAAGACTCTCGCTGGGGCTCAACAATGAAGAGTTAAAAGCCGATTAGACAGACGTGGCATCTGACCTGCCCTGTCTTTCCACTTCCACCTCTTAGGAACCTGACCTACCCATCCAGCTCTCCTGGAGCCTAGTTTGCCAGGAACCGGCTGCATACTCCCAGGTAAATTACTAAATTGTTTCAGGCTTCCTTTCTTCATTTGTTCAAAGAGAAAAAGCTGGCTAAGACCAGTGGTTTAACCAGAGTAGGCCATCCTGGAGAACTTGTTCAGAAACTCAGATCAGGGTCCACCCATGAGATTCTACTACACTGGGACAGGGCAGCGCTAATCCTCAGCCCCCATAGTCCCCACCCCTCGGAAAATGGAGAGCGAGTAAGCACTAGGGTGGTTTCCAGATGAAGTAGTCCCTCATTACAAGAGGCTGCAGACCCAACTCAGCACTCAGAAAGCACCTTCCAGGTGTCCTGCACTCGCAGGGGAGCAGCACTCATGAGAAGAGGCATCTGGTTTGGCCCATGAGGGAAGGCATTGACCGCAAGCTCTCTAGTGGATGCATACACAAAAGACACTGTGGGAATGATGCAAACAAGAGTTTTTAGATGTCTGCAAGACTTAAAAATTATAAGAAACAATAAAAATGAACTTCAGTTTCCCACAAATACAGAATTATGTTACAACGTCTCAGGCAAACCAGTTGTTTCATGAATTTGGTCATTCAGGAAGTACAAAAGAATACAGCTGAAAAGTTGTCATATGCCTACATTTAATAGTTTTCACAAATTCAGCTGAAATTTGCTCCTAGGCTGTTGGAATTATACCACCACTAAGTTGCAGGAAATCAAAAGCCAGTATTCCCATTTAGTGCTTTGAGGCAGTGCCCACCTGGACAGTGTGGGAACCAAGGTCTGGGAGGTGGCTTCCAGCCTCTACTAACCTCCCAGCCTGTGGGCCAGCACAGGCCCTGATCTGTGCAAAGAAAAGTGAACCATCAGCCCTTGGCCCATTCTCCACTTAGCTTCCTGCTTCCTTCTCTCCTGACTTCCCAGTTGGGTTCAAGATTAGTAAGGGATACCATCACCCAATCCTGCTCTGCTCTTGAAAGGCTAAAAACAACTCCAGACAGGGTCTTGTGTGGTTACTGGGTCAAAAAACCCAGGTTGAACCCTACTCCTCAATTAACCACACAGTCAGGACCAAATCGTTCTACTTTTCCAAACCTCAGGTGACTTAGCTGCAAAAGTGGGAATAAAAAGATATACCTCTCAAGGTTATTGTGAGAATCAAATCAGATTAAACAAGCTATGTATGCAAAGTTCCTTGGAAACTACAAATAAGAGTTTTTGCTTAAGATCAACAACCATTTTTTAACAGTGAACTGAGAGCATCATACTTGCCTTTTTCTCCTTCTAGGGTGGGAAGATCCAGTGTAGCTGTGTGAGGGGAAGACTTTAGAGAGTAGAAAGCCCCATCCCAGTAAAGAGGTGGAGGGCAAACACCTTGCTGTGGGACCTCAGCTTTGAGAGGAAGGAAGCATCCAAGAACGAACCGTGCTTAAGCACACTGCATGGACCCTGATAAATAGGTTCTAGGATCTAGGCTGCCTGGAACAAGACCCTACTGTGGCACCAGCTCAACCACTGTAGGTAATAAACACTGAGAAGGAAGCCTAGTTTATTTCTTGAGTGACCCTCAGACATGTTTCTGGATTAGACCTCAGTTGCCATGTCAGAACTGACTTACATATAAGTTTTTGTTTGTTTGTCAGGGTCTTGTTCTGCCACTGAGACTGGAATGCAGTAGTGCAATCATGTTCACTGCAGCCTTAAATTCTTGGGTTCAAGAGATCCTCCCACCTCAGCTTCCTGAGTAGCTAGCATAGCTAACCATTTTTTACTTTTTGTAGAGACAGGAGTCTTGCTACGTTGTCTAGGCTAATCTCAGACTCCTGGCCTCAAGAATCCTCCCACTTTGGTCTCCTAACATGCTGGGATTTCAGGCACGAATCACTGTACCCAGCCTTAACTTCTGTATAGTTTTGACAGTTTAGATATTTTCTAGAAGGACAACAGAGGTTGGAACAGGTGAGCATTTTTTTCTGATTCAGACACATAATTTTACAGGATTAAATACTACATGATTTATCTGTGTGGGAATGTGTTGTTCACCCCACACAGGGTTCTGAAAAGCAAGAAGGGTATCAGCTCCTTGGGCAGCTGGTGAGTAATAGATGCTGTCGCTGAGACAGTAAGACAATCTGGGTCCAGAGAGAGCAGGTTAAAATGTTCTAGAGAATGAAACACCTTTTTCTTTTTCTTTTTCTTATCACGGGACACCCAGTAGGGGACATTGTGGTTCTGGAGGTGAACTGACAATGTGGCCTCTGAGACTTACTCCACACAGGTGGTCGCTTGAACTGTGCATACTTCCCTCTGAGTCTCAAGTTCTGACTCTGAATTTCATCTCAAGCAGGCCAAGAGACTACAGCGGGCCTTTTCACTTACCTTCCTGTAAGTACATGACTGCCTGGGAATAGTTCTGCAAGGCATGATGGGTCCTTCCAAGGCTACTATATGACACCGTCTTGGCCACCAAGTCATTCATCTGTGCAGCAATGCTCAAGTGCTGTTCTTGATAGACCACAGCCCTCTCGAAGGTGCCCAGGGATTCATATGTCAGGCCCAGGTTCCCGTAGGCTCGGCCCTGGCATGTGGGGTTGTTGGTTTCCTCTGCTATCTGTAGATCAAGCTGGTGGTACTGCAGGGCTGTGTCATACTCCCCCATCTGCTGGTAAACGCCCCCCAGGCCACAGGCCGCATCACTCTCCAGAGCTCGGTCTTTCATCTCTCTAGCAATGTTCAGCTGACGTTCAAGGCAGGAAATGGCTTGCTCATAATTCCCTAATTGACTGTGCAGACTTCCCAGCTCTCCATAGGCCTGGGCTTTGTTGAAGGCCTCCCCGAGTTCATGGGCAACCACGAGCCTCTTTTCAAAGCACACGAGGGCTTGCTGCAAGCTCCCCATTGCCCTGTGGGGATGTAGACAGAAAAGCAATGATATTATTTCATGCAGGTGCAGACATGCTAAAGCCCCTGAGAAAATGAAAAGCATTTGTCACTGTCACTTACTACAGAAGCTCTTAACTCCTCTTCTAGCTAAAATCTATCATGTGCCCTTAGAGTGAGATGCAGAGGAATTTCATAATCTGGAAAGCAATTCAAAAGTCATCCCTTAGTGACCTTCCCAAGAGCTTGTGATTCAGTGGGATATACACCCCAGAGAAAACATAAAATATATTAATAGGCACAATGATAGCAAGTGAACTGTTGGTTCTTCGGGCCTCCCAATTTCCACTACTGCTTAGACTATGTTTTTGAAATCACTTTACAGTAGCTATAAATCTTTCACCCCAGCACTCTGTAGGTGAAGATTTAGTTTGACCCTTGTCCTTCCTCCACTCCAGGAGCCCTAATACCCTGCCTCTCTGGTGGAGCTGTATATTCTGCAGACACAGACAACTTCTTGGGTTCCCCACATTCAGGAGAAAGCATCACCTTGACCAAAGCATGTCTTTTTTGTGCTGCTAAGAGTGGGAGAGGCATGAATTCTGGCAGCTGACCAAGCCAGTTGTATGGGGCATATGAATTCCTTTCTCTGAGCCTTGGTTTCAGGTGCTAATAAATCCCACATCTCACAGTAGATGATAATAAATGTATAATGAAACAAACTTGCTATAACTATTAAGTAAGATATCTGTGCAAGGTACCTAGCATGATGCATGGTACATGGTACATGTTTATTCACTCACTCTATTATCAGGTGGCTTTTCGTAAAAGCAACACAATGAGGACTACGTAACTGATGAGTATAGATGCTGCATAAATAAAGACATTCTACAATGTGGGAAGCATTCAGAAAAGATTAGTAAAAGTGATTAATTCACCCTTCCCATCCCTATTATATCTTTTATCCTGCTCATTATAATGTAGTAAAAAAAGGCACTTCATTTGGAGTCAGAGGGCTCTGGATTTAACTCTCAGCTGTCCCTCTGAAGTGCTGTGATCCTGGGCATCAACTCAACCTCTCTGGGCTTTAGTTTCTTCTTCATAACAAAGGTTAATAATCTCACCTGCTTAATTCAAAGAATTACTGGAGGAATCAAATGAGACATGTATGAAAATAGCTACTAAATTGCCATGCAGACATGAAGTTGCCATCACTGCCACAACTGCATTTTTTGAGAACTATCAACCACATTTGTCTTCTGTCATTTTTACCTGTGTCCATTTCCAAGGCCCCGGTAAGCCTTGGCTTGGTCTTGCATGCGATTCAGACTCTGGGCAACAGATAAATACTGTTCATAGTATTTGATAGCTTCCTCATAGTCACCCAGGGCTTCGTAGCAATCCCCCAGGTTGCCATAAGCTCGGCCCCTGTCGAGCACAGACTCGTTTCCACTTAGCTGCTGAAGCATGGCCAACTGCTGCTCAAAGTAGCCGATGGCTTCCTCCATCACATTCATGTTCATCTTGGTGATACCCATGTTGCCATAGACCTGGGCTTCTAGACTCGGATCCTTCAGCTTCTGCCCCAGATCCAGCTGCTCTTCATAACACTTGAATGCCATTGTGTACTTTCCAAGGGCCATGTAGACAGCAGCCAGGTGCCCATGAGCTCTGCATTCCCCTGGCAAATCAGTCAGCTCCTGATATACCTCCAGTTCCTGTGTATGATAACCCAAGGCTTTGTCATACTTCTGGATCATTCGGTATGCAGTGCCCAGGGCTGCATATGCACTGGCCTCCAGTCTTCTATCCTTTACCTGGTGAGCTAAGCTCAGCTGCTGCTCATAGAATTTTATTGCACCATTTATATCTTTTTTACAGATGAATATATCACCCAGGTTCCCTAGGGCTCGAAATTTAGCCTGGGAATTATTCAGGGACTGGGCTAGGGACAGCAGGTACTTTTGACACTCTTCAGCTTTACTGAAATTCAGCAGAGCTTTAAATGCTAGGCCCAAGTTGCAGTAGGCTTTTGCTTGGCTCAATTTGTCATGAAGGTCTTTGGCCAGCGCCAGATCCTGCTCGTAGTACTTCACTGCCTCTTGGTAATTTCCAAGGCAGTAATGGGCATAGCCAAGATTGTGGCAGACCTTCCCTTCTCCTTCCATGTCTTGAAGGTCAGGAGCGAGGCGGAGGTACTGTTCATAGTAGGGGGCAGCCTGGACATACTCCCCCCGAGAGCAGTGGAAGTTGCCCAGGTTGCTGAGGGCCCGGGCCTCGCTTTGGATGTCTCGCAGCTCCCGCGCAATGTTCAAGTGGTTCTGATAGTGTTGCAGGGCCCGGTCATGGGCACCCAGGGCCTGGTAGGCCACGGCAAGGTTCCCATGTGTAGAGGCCTGGGAGGCACGGTCATTCACTTCCATGGAGATCTGCAGCTCCTGCCGATGGTACTTGACCGCCTGGTCGTACATGCCCAGGGCATTGTAGGCATTGCCCATATTCCCATAGGCACGGCCCTGGGCAGCATAATCGCTCAGCTCCTGGGCAACGCACAGGTGGGTCTTATGAAGTTTCAGTGCAGTGTCATAATCGCCTTTCATCTGGTGTATGATTCCTAAGGAAGAGAATAAAAGAACAGATTAAGTCTCGAATAACTGACTAGCAATTTAGGAAAAAATGTAATTTGCAACTCAATTTATAGTAAAATGTAATCGAGATGAATTAAAGAATTTAAAATAACAGAAGGCAAAATTAAATATTTATCAGCTCTCCAGAGGGGGATAGCTTTCTAAGCTTTGAAGCAACAGAAGAAAAAAAAAGAAACATCGACAGATTTGATTACAAAAATAAGTATTTTTGTACTACAAATACATTGTTAAAATCAAAAGGCTAGCACAACACTGGAAAATATATGAAACATATATGAAAATGTTCATTAGCTATTGTGTGTAAAGATTTCACTCAGTTTGATTGTTTTAAAAATCAAGATTCCCAATTTATTAAAATAGGTAAAGAATTGTAATTGTTACCAGACGACTCATCCAAAGAAATACAAAGAGTAACCACAGGAGAAAATGCTAATTTCCTTAATCAATGAAATGCAAAATAAAGAAACCCTGAAGTACAATTTTACTTCCACTAAATTAGCAAACAAAAAATTTAGACACAACTCCTATACTGATGGGGCTGCCCTGAAAGTAGTAAACACACTGACTACTGAAGACACAGATGGGAATGAACCATGTGCAAACAGCATGGCACGAACCACAAACATGCTCCTTCTCTGACCCAGCAATCCGACTCAAGGGAAAGTATCCTAAAAAAACCATCTGACAAGCACAAAAACTTTCATAGCAATATGCATGAGAATCTTCACAGCAGCATTATAGACTCGTGGAAAATCAGAACCGTCTTAAATGTGAAACACTGGGGGACTATCTAAGTACATTTTGGTATGTAAACTCAATAGAGGATTATGCAGTCATTAAAAAGGTAATTAGGAAGTCTATGTAGAAAAATGGGAAAACATGTTCCTACAGTCATGTTAACCGGAAAAAGCAGGAAACAATGCTACATGCGACTACTAGGAAAATAAATATGTGCACACGGACAAGACCTTGAGAGGTTATGCAAGAATAAAAATATTTGCCTCCTTAAGTGATGGGATTTGAGTGATTTTTATTCTAAAATCTCTTGCAATTTTGCTATACTGCTTTTACGATCAATAATAAGAGTACGTCAAACAACTCTCACAAACTATGCCACAGCTGTTAAGCTAAGCTATCATTTTAACAAGCAGTTCAAAATAAGATATATCATAAATATCATAGCTATAAAATAGTTCCAAATGAGAGATAGCATAACAGTAACTTTGGAGGTGGCTTTAAGGGGAGCCTGGTTCATCTCAGTTGAGCCAGAGTGGGGGCCACCACTAGAAAGGCCAAAAAGAACCTAGCATACAAACAGGTTTCTCCTTGCCATTGGTTTTGAACTCGCTTTTCCATGCATCAACATGTCAGCTTTGCCGTGGTGATTAAAACCTTCAGAAGCACAAAAACGCCAAGATGAATTCTTATTAAAATGTCTGAACAGGCCGGGTGCTGTGGTTCAAGCCTGTAATACTAGCTCTTTGGGAGGCGGAGGTGAGAGGATTGCCTGAGCTCAGGGGTTTGAGACCAGCCTGAGCAACATAGCGAGACCTCAACTCTATAATAAATCAAAAAAATTAGCCGGGCATGGTGGTACAAGCCTGTGGTTCCAGCTACTCAGAGGGCTGTGGCAGAAAAATCACCTGAGCCCAGTAGGTTGAGGCTGCGGTGGCCCTGAGTGTGCCATTGCACTCCAGCCTGGGTGACAGAGTGAGACTTTGACTCCAAAAAAAAGACTGAACTGGGTCGGGTGTAGTGGCTCAGCACTTTGAAAGGCCGAGGTGAGAGGACTGCCTTAACCCAGGGGTTTGAGACCAGCCTGGGCAACTTGGTGATACCTCATCTCTACAATAAATCACAAAAAAAACTGGCCAGGCATGGTGGTGTGCATCTGTAGTTCCAGCTACTTGGAAGACTGAGGCGGAAGGATCACCTAAGCCCAGCAGGTTGAGGCATTGGGGGCTGTGAGGGGACAGTGAGAATACTTCAGCCTGGGTGACAGAAGTGGGACTCCAACTCAAAAAAAAAAAAAAGTCTGAACTGAAAACAGAGGCACTGAAAAAGAAAGTTGTCAAAACCTAGCCTCCACAATTTGCTTATATCCATGACACCCTTCATTCATTCATTCACTCACCCAGCACACATTAACTGAGTATTTATTGTATATTAGAACTTGTGGTGGGCAAGTTAGATATAGAGAAATGAAAACAGAAGTTTCTGCCCTCAGGGAGAAAACACAGTAAAAAGGGAGACAGTTGGGAAACAAATGTCAGTACACATGATCAACGCTGAAGCTGGGCAGGGGTGTGGGGCCACCCTACTGGTCCTGACTCTCTCCCTTGCCTGCTATGGAGATCTGTCCTGCCACAGGAGTCGAGTCTAGTCCTGGGACCCAGCCAGCTCTTTGACTTAACTGGACTTAGAGTATTGGGTAAAGCATTTAGCCTCTCTGAGCTTCATGTAGTTCATCTACAAAACAAGGAAAATAATAATGTGATACCAATCTTAGAGGAAGGTAGTAAGAATCAAATTATATCATGTATGTGCAAGAGCATTATGAAATTCAAATCCCAGTGACTAAAATTATTATATGCTTCCAGGAAAGGGAATTCTTGAGGTGGCAGAGGTTAAATAAGCTATGGTAATTCTTCTGTATTTTTTTTAAGAAAAATATTTCACAATTTAAAAATAAATAAGTCATGGTAAATGTATACAATGGAATAAAGATGATGACATTAAAATGGTGAAGCAGAAGTTTATATATTGACATAGAAAGGAATTTACAATATATTAAGGGGGATATATGGTCACAAAGGGTACATTTTATAAACTTAAATAGCATATGTATATACATACACATTTACATTTAAATGTACACATATAGCATAACATTTATTTAAATGTTAAGAATAGTAATCTTTGGCTGGTGGAATTGCAGGCTTTTCTCTTTTGCTTATCTGTTTTATAAATGTTTTTCTTATGATGAACACATAACCCTTGGTTTGAAAATAAGAGAAGTAACATCCCTGAGGATTGAGTCTGGTCACTCCTCTGGGTTAAAGATGTCACCAGTATCCTAGCAGGAGGAATCAGAGTTTTTCAGAACCTGTCTCAAGGGCAGAAAATCTAAGCGTCTCAAGAAGAAATAATACCTTCGTATCATCTAGAACCCTTTTAATAATGAAAAAGTATTAGTGACAGAAACATTTCAGTTCTCAAGACCTAAATTTAACATGTATTCCTTAACCGTTTTTATCTAAAGAGAAAACTTTTACATTTCAAATCTCCAGGTATCTTTAGAAGACACGAATCATTTACGCCCCCTCTCCTGACCTGCTAGGGAGGTCAAAATACCTGCCAAAGGCTGAGTCCATGGTTATGAACAGAGCCAGAGCAGGAGATGGCAGCAGAAATGCTCACAAGGTCTTTGGAGCACTGTCTCCCACAATGATGCCTTTGCTAATGATTTTCCCTCACAGCTTTTGGATTTTATTGCAATTACTTTTTAAGCCAATATAATCATTCTTGGTTGCTAAGATGATGACAGGAAAAAGCAAGCAGTGAGAGACCTTCTGAGAAGACAAGAGAGGAAGCTTGCCTTTCACGCGAGGCCCATCACCACCAAACACAGGTCTTCTTGCTGGCACCTTACCCTTCTACAAAATGGAATTATACCCATCCTACAAGGAACTGGCTAGGTGTGAGGAAGGCACACTATAATAGAAAAGGTACAGGACTCTAAGTCAGAAATCTCATTTTATAAGGCTGGCTCCCGTCTCATTTGGCTATCTTTGAGACAGTCAATATCTCTGAGCCTTAGTTTTCTCTCTCTCTCTCTCTCTTTTTTTAATAGAAAATGTTTGGGCATTCTTTGTTTTCTTACTAATAAGATTGGGTTATACTCACCTCAAAGAAATGGCATGAGAAACATAATAATTGGTATCAACATGCTTTGTAATATATAATGTGGTATCTAAACATGGAATGACCAGTATTTAGAGAGTGAGAGAAAGGAAAGGAATTTGATTTCTGACTCAAGGCCATGAGGGTCTGGGCGAGTTAATAGGCAGCAGTTGGGATGATAATGGTTACCCAGGGTTCAATGATTGTGAAAGAAACTGCCTGCTGGTTATGGCAAAATGATCTGATCTCCAGCCAGTTTCTCCACACACTCTCCTGTTCTCTTCTGTATTCCTCATCCTACATTTCCAAGGGCCTATAAAGAATCATAGGGAGATTCTCAAAACAAAGACTTCCATGCACAGACAAGAGTGAGGAGATGGATGTGGCTGAGCTGGAATTTTTCTACTGTCCCAGTCGCTGCGAGCCTGGGGAATTCTGAATGGAACATTACACACTCTTGGCAGCCTTTCTCTTTGTTGAGGCAACATAAAAGCGCCCGAGAGCTGCCAGCAGAGTGACTGCACATGCTGAGGAGATAATCTGCAGATCCTCCTTCCCTTTCGAGACCACAGCTTGATTTTCCAGGGCCGTCATTTAGATGAAGACTTACAGAGGGCCTGTCAGCAGGGGCGTGCTAGGTGACAACATGCTGCAGGGAGGGGAATTAAATGAAGATTAGTGGGGCAGAAGATCCTCACAAAGCTGAATTCTCATGAGGGGAGGGCATGTGCAGAAAGGACACACAGTTATAAATGCATACATTGCCACAAGCAGACCTCCACGTATGGGTCAGGAGTGGCTACTACCATGGGAATAATTATATCTACTTCAAAGGGCTGTGTGAGGGCCAATGAGACCACGCTTAGCTGAAGCCAGTATAGGTGCTGAGGAACATGGTAAGTGCGCAATACATTTGCTTTTATGATTAGTTACTCCAAGAAAAGATCAACAGAGGTGTGAACAGGATAAGCCAAGCAGAAAAACCACTACAACTAGAATGTTTAGCATTTTAGTAGTGACTTCTGGCTGTCTTTTCCCTTGTGAGTTCTCTGAAAATAGGGCCTCAGCATAGCGCCACAAACAATGGAAGCATTCTTCCCATTTATTGAACAGATTACTGTTATCATTATTAATAGCGTGCAACCGAGAGGAGGCTTTAAGAGCTGATCTGTTATTTTCCTTTGTTTCCAAAAAGATTGAGTTCTGTTCCATCCTAGTCAAATCACCAGCTATTCCCAGAGGAAACAGGATTTGGGAACTGGAAAAGGCCTCCCACAGGCTCACTTTGTGAATGACATGACATGACAGAGGCAGAGGCCAAGGGGGAGGAAATGAGTTAGTGGCAGAGCTGAGGCAAGGACCCTCAGGCCTGTGTGCCCTTATCATACCAGCCCAGCTGTTTTCAAGACACAGTGGAGACAAGAAGTAACTGTTAAGTCTTGCTAGGTGTGATGTCGGACAGTAGCTACGTTTTATAAAGTTCTCATCGGTTAGAAATACATACGGAAGCATTTACAGATGAAACAACATAGTGTCTATGATTTGCTTAAAACTACTTCAGCAGGGGGAAAAGTAAGCACACGTGTGTGTGTGTGTGTGTGTGTGTGTGTGTGTGTGTGTGTGTGTGTGTTTTCATGAAAACAGATGAACAAGATTAACAAAATGTTGATTACAGGGCTATGGGTATGTATGTGGGGATTCATTATACTCGCTCTACCTGTGCGTGCTTGTGAAAATGTCCATAATAGAAAGTTAGATAATTAAGAACACTCAGAGAAGTTTGTACGGCATAGTCTTCTGTAGCCCTTCTAGATCAGGAAACTCTTTCTTGTAGCTAAGTCCTGATGTAACTATTGAAGTCCATTTTTCCATCTTTGGGACCTTAGCAGAGAAAGAAGTTGGGTTGGCTGGTCACTAGCCTCTGTGGCTATACCAGCCTCCATATCCCTCTCCAGGCTGGGAGGAGGACATGTATAGACTGAAAACAACATAGTACTCTGTCCCATTGCTTTGACTTGTACCTTCCATTTCAAATGATCTTATAGGACAGGGTGATATTTTGTCTATCAAGGAGGCAGGGTGGGAGAGGATGGCAAAAACACCTGAGAAAACCTACTTCATGGAAAGAGTGCTGTGGGTGCCTAACAGCTCCTCTGACCCTCCTCCTCCCTGGGCGAAGTGGCCCCAGGTTTTATAGGGGACCTGTTATTCTGGCCCTGGACATCTTCAGGTTTCCTGAATCCTCTCCCTCTCAAGTTTTCATATATAAGTTATTCTACATTGGACTTAAGATATCTCAAAGCCGGCGGTGAGCAGGAAGGGACAGACCTGGCTAGTGAGCAGATGGCTGGAATCAAAGGCATAAGAGAAGAGTGCCCTGTGTTGGACGTGCAACCAACTAGATATCTTATCTGACACATTTGCAGGTGACTATTTATGTACCTGGAGACAAATCCCCACTATTTTTGCCAGCAGAGGACAAAATAGGTACAGATATTTTAAAATGTGGGGTAACTCCAAAATGACATATCATTTGACTTCAGCTACGAGCATCTTCTTGACAGGCAAACTATTCTTGAGAACCTCTCTGTGCCTGGCTCTCTGCTCCATGATCTCAGTCACGTCTTAAAACAATCCTTCAAGGTTGATACTGTGTTCTCAGGGACCTGAGAGGTTCAAGAGCTTACTCAGGCCCACACAGCCCTACTTGGCCACACTGGTACTAAAACCCATGAGTTCATGCTCTTTTGCCTGTTCCCCTCAGCTGGAATGACTTCTATGAAAGTTGGACACGATTCTGTGCCTATTTCTTTTACCCCCTCCACACAAAATGCTTTGTGTACATGAGTATACTGCTGTGGCAAACCAAGCTAGTGGCAGCTGTAAATGCACAGATTGATGGCCTGGCTAAATTGCAGAGAACTATACATTAGAGACCAGAAAATCCCAAGAGACTCAGGAATGTAGTAGGGGGAAGCAGATGTAATCTGTGTGGGCCTCACCTCTGGAGAACTCTTGGGCCGTCATGCATCTATTCTGCCATCCTTTAACTTAATTACATCTGTCTACTTTTCTACTAAACCCACCAGACTCTGCCTGCTCCGCCAAAGGATAAGTGAAGTTACAAGCCTGTTATCTTCTTTTGCTTCAACAGCAGTTTAGAATGTTTCAGTGACCTTGAGAGTTCAGTGGCATTTCTGTCCCAGATCCCAATTGCCCTTCCCTTTTGTTTCAACTCTGAGGAGCCTGCTGTAATAAGGTCGGGAAATATCTGAAGCACTACCCCGACCCCGCTCAAGCACGCTCCATTGGAAGTTGCCTATCTTTATAACCAAACTTGGAGGAAATAAAATGCAGTAATTTTGCAGAGACTATATTTTAGAGTCTAAATGTATTATTATTTATATACATTTATTTTTCCAAATGTAGAGAAATAGGTCCTAATTACTCAACCCTGCCCCTCAAGATTCCCCTTGAAGATGAATGGGAGCAGAGCCAGCTCCTCTGTGGTCTCCTCCTACCACCATGCCAGAGACTTGGGCTGAATGAGCAGTGATACAAGCCAGCCTGGGGCCCGCTGGAGACCATGAATATTCCGCTTCATGCATGGCCCCACTTCTTACTTCCCTTGGATAGTTAAAGACCAAGACTGCAGGTGAATAGCTCAGAAATTCCCCAGGCCTATGCAGCTGTAAATCCAGAGGCAGTGGGGAAGATTAATTGTGCCACAAAGTAGAGGAAGTAATAATTAAACCTATTAAAAAGGAGGTGGCTGGAGAGGGGTGCTCTGGTGATGGATGATGAGGTAGGAAGTGTTAGGCACAGTCATCCCTAACGGCTCCAGCCGGGCCACTGTGAGAGACTTGGTGGGAAGCCCAGAGCAGAGTGAAAAATATGCTGGGCCTGCCTGGCCAAGCCCCACCATTAGTCACTGCTTGGAAAAGGCAAAGTGTGCCTGGTTTTCATTCTGGATCACAATAAGAGGTGGGAGGCAGTCTCATAAGTTAGCAATGCAGAGAATGTTACAAGGAGTTCGTTTCAATATGAAACAAACATTTCTTTTGTTTCAAGACAAGGGTAAAATTGCTGAAATATGGAGATAGCTGCTTCTGCTTCTCCCTCAAGTTGAAGCCCTGAAAACTGGGCCAGTTCCATCTCTCTGGAGCACCTGCTGCAGGTCCCTGTAGCCTAAGAAGTGCAGACTAATTAAAGTGGCCTTTATGGGCTTTCCCAATCCAGCTCCAACCCAGCCATCCCTGCCTCGTGTTCCCTGTACTAGGCTAGGCACAAAGCAGGCCTATATACAGCTCCACTCAATCCCACCCTGCCTTTTCCACCTGTGTCTTTCTCATCTCATTTGCTTGGTTTGGATTACACTCCTCCCCTGTCCAAGGTAGACTTTACTAATGCCTACTATCTGGTTCTCTTTTATATCCAGGTATGTGTTTACCTACTCATGAGAAGTTAGGCATGGCCAAGTGACTTGCCTGTTCAATAAATGTGAATAGAAGTGAAGTGCTACTTCCAGCAGAAGCATTTAATAGCTGAAGTGCAATATTCCACACTCTCTCTTACCCTGCCTCGTCACCTGTGAAGCTATGTGTTCTAGACGGTATAGCTGTAGGAAGATAGAGCCATGGCAGGCCTGGGTCAGTGAGGTGCCCTGTGGTAGGCTTTGTATGAATATAGTACTTTGTTGTATTAGGTCACTAAGTTCTGTGGGCTGTTAATGTACCAGAACCTAGCACATTCTGAAGCATGTACCAACCAGTATCAATCCTCCAAGCCCTTGTCACAGCCTATAATTTCAAACTGTATCCTAACAAAGTCTGTGTGAGAGGAGAGATCTATTAACAGAAGTTTCCCAAGGAGATTTTACAGCATCCATGCCTCTGCATGCTCTAAATTCTAGCCCTAAAGACCACTAAAATCTGTAAACTTGAACCAAATTACCTTGGACTCATACAGAATAGGCTTCAGAGAATTGAGGGTTATCATTATGCCCTCAGGTTAGTTGATTTGTTTTTGATTAAAGTTTGCTATTAGAAAAAGCACACTGAGGCTGGGCACCATGGCTCACGCCTATAATCCTAGCACTTTGGGAAGCTGAGGTGAGAGGAATTCCTGAGCCTATGGGTTCATAACCAGCCTGAGCAACTTGGTGAGACCTCATCTCTACAATAAATCAAAATATTAGCCAGGCGTGGTGGTGTGTGCTTGTAGTTTCAGCTATTTGGAAGGCTGAGGTGGAAGGATCACCTGAGCCCAGCAGGTCGAGGCTGCAGTGCCCATGAGCATGCCACTGCATTCCAGCCTGGACGACACGTGAGACTCCAACTCAAAAAAAAAGAAAAAGCACACTGAAATCTATTATAATCTTTGCTATGAAAATTTTAGTGATACCATACATTTTGTCACCAGAACCCCCTATATAAAATCCTTCTTAAGAAATTTCTTTTAGGCTGGGTGTGGTAGTTCACACCTGTAATCCCAATAATTTGGGAGAATAAGGTGGGAGGATTGTTTGAGCCCAGGAGTTCAAGAACAGCCTAGGCAGCATAGCAAGACCCCATCTCTACAAAAAATAAGAAAGT